AGAGAGATACACACACACACACACACACACACACACACACACACACACTGGAGAACTTTGAATCTGCCTGCCCCAATCTTTCCTATTTATTTCTTGAAACTGTTCAGTCTTGTCAATGAATTCCTTCTCCTCTTAAGACTGGATCAATGAAATTTCTACAGTCACATGAGGTTGTGTTTTATAGAAGATCAAACACCAGATCAGCCTCCTCTCTGCTGCTTAACTCTCCCTGCCCTTTGCATCCAATCATGGCTACTTCCTCAGCAAAATCCCATGCCCAACTTTAATTAAATGATTGCAGTCCTTTTTGTGGATTATGAATAAATCTTCATTTGTTTTCTTTATTATCATTCAATCTGCTTTTCTTAATTGTGTAAATGTTCCACTAAGGCAGAAAAGCAATATCATTCAGACACAGCAAGCTTTTTTGTTAAGAATAGTCAATTTGATTAAGATCACTATCAATATAACGAATGTAAATGGTCTCAGTTGAACTGCCCAATAACTTGGAATTGGCATGGTAGTGTTTCAGTTGTTAGGACTAAAACAATAAATTCAGTTGTGCATCATGTCAGCACAACCCATGTTTTCCATTTCTTACAAGAAAAAATGTAAATACTTTGAGTCTCCTACAATATTTTAAACCACAGATAATGAAGCCATTGCACTTTTTCCCTGATCAGAGAAAGTAAACATGATGAATGGGGGAAAGGAGGCATGGTGAACTTTTTCTCTGTTCCAAATTCTAGAGCTGATAATGAAGAAAAGTTTCTTAGTTCACTAGTAGTTCCTTATTACTGAAGATCCTTAGCCATCATTCTTTAGGGTGGGAGGAAAGGACGCTACCTTGGGGTTCTAAATTCTTTACAATATGTATTCCTCTGTCTGTGTTGTTGTTGTTGTGTGCCTTCAAGTCATTTCCTATTTATGGCGAACCTAAGGCAACCCTATCATAAGGTTTTCTCAGCAAGTTTCTTAAGATGGGGTTTGTCATTGCTGTTCTCTGAGGCTGAGAATGTGTGACTTGCCCAAGGCCACCCACTGGGTGTCTCTGGCTAAGCAGGGATTAGAACCCTGCATTCCAAAGTCAAAGTCCAATGTCAAACCATTACACCACACTGGCTCTCATATGTTTAGTTGTGGAGTGAACCTATACCATGCTTGCAGAACCTAAGATGAATCTATCATGGGGTTTTCTGGGCATGATTTGTTCAGAAGAGGTTTGCCATTGAGTTCTCCTGAAGCTGAGAGCATGTGCCTCAGGTCACATGTTTATCCAGTGGGTTTCATTGCTGAGCGGGGAATTGAACCTTGGTCTCCAGAGTCATAGTCCAAACCACCACCCCCTCTCTCAATAGATGTGTGTGTGTGTGTG